GTTCAAGACCAACATGGCCAACATACACCCCCATCTCTATTAAAAACACAAAAATTAGCCAGGTGTGGTGGCATGCACCTGTAGTCCCGGCCACTTGAGAGGCTGAGGGAGGAGAATCACTTGAACTCAGGAGGTGGAGGTTGCAGTGACCTGAGATCATGCCACTGTGCTCCAGCCTAGGTGATAAAGCAAGACTTAGTCTCAAAAAGGTAAAAAATAAAAAGGAGCCACTAAATACAGTGACATGAGGCTGGGCGCACTCATGCCTGTAATCCTAGCACTTTGGGAGGCTGAGGCGGGGAGATCATAAGGTCAAGAATTCGAGACCAGCCTGGCCAACATGATGAAACCCCATCTCTACCAAAAAAAAAAAAAAAAAAAAAACAAACCATACAAAAAATTAGCTGGGTGTGGTGGCGTGTGCCTGTAATCCCAGTTACTCAGGAGGCTGAGGCAGGAGAATTGCTTGAACCCAGGAGATGGAGGTTGCAGTAAGCCAAGATCACGCCATTGCACTCCAGCCTGGGCGACAGGGCAAGACTCGGTCTCAAAAAAAACAAAACAAAACAAAAACACTTAGGTTTTAACAGGGACATTGGTTTGATCAGGCTTAGGTTTTAACAGGGACATTGACTGCTGTGTTGAGAAGAAACTGTAGAGGGGCAGGGCCAGATGAAGGGGGAAGAGTTTGGAGGATTTTGCAGTAATCCAAGTGAGAGATGAACCACGGTGGGGGAAATGAGAAGCACTGAATTCGAGATACATTTTTGAGAGCTTACAGGATTTGCTAACAGATTGGATTAAGGGTGTAACACAAAGAGAAGAGTCAAGGGTGGGTTTCTATATAAAATGGCCTTTAAAACAAAGAGCCATTCTGTTAAAGAAGTCTGCAAATTACACTGGGTGCGGTGGCTCACGCCTGTAATCCCAGCACTTTGGGAGGCTGAGGCGGGTGGATCACTTGAGGTCAGGAGTTTGAGACCAGCCTGGCCAACATGGTGAAACCCGTCTCTACTAAAAATACAAAAATTAGCCAGGCGTGGTAGCATGTGCCTGTAATCCCAGCCATTTGGGAGGCTGAGGCAGGAGAATCACTTGAACCCAGGAGGTGGAGGTTGCAGTGAGTGGAGATAACGCCATTGCACTCCAGCCTAGGCGACAGAGTGAGACTCTATCTTAAAAATAAATAAATAAATAAATACATAAAAAGAAGTCTGCAAATTGTTAGTCCCCAGGATAAATCTCAGACTCCTCGGCTGGCTCTGGGAGGCCCCGGATACCTGTTCTCAGCATCTATACCTTTGTAAATATAATCGTCTCTCAGTATACATGAAGGATTGGTTCCAGGATCCCTTTAACACCAAAATCCACTGATGTCCAAGACCTGTATATAAAATGATGTAATATTTGCATATAACCTACACACATCCTCCTCTATACTTTAAATCATCTCTTGTTTACTTATAATACCTAATGTAGTGTAAATGCTATGTAAATAATTGTTATACTGTACTGTTTTTCATTTGTATTTATTTTTAGAGATAGGGTCTCACTACATTGCCCAGGCTTGACTTGCACCCCTGGGATCGAGCAATCCTCCTGCCGCAGCCTCCCAAGTAGCTAGGACTACAGGTGCATGCTGCCACACCTGTCTGTATTTGTATTTTTTTTTATTGCTGCATTATTTTTTTCCAACTTTTTTTTTTTTAGACAGGGTCTCACTGTATTGCCCAGGCTGGAGTGCAGTGGCACAATCATGGCTCACTGCAGCCTCGAACTCCTGGGCTCAAGTGATCCTCCCTTCTCACCTTCCAAGTAGCCAGAGCTACGGGCACATGCCACCACACCCGGTGGCTAAATTTTGTATTTTTTGTAGAGATAGAGTCTCACTATGTTGTCCAGGCTGATCTAAAACTCCTGGCCTCGACTCTTCCTCCTTCCTCAGCCTCCCAAAATGCTGGGATTACAGGTGTTAGCCACTGCACCTGGCCCCTGCTTTGCTTTTCTTGATGACACGTCCTTCTGATGTGCCATGTAATTTATATATTTGTGTCTAACACGTCACTATAATTAAACCCAATGAGGGCAGATTTTTTTTTTAGGCTTGTATTTTGAAATAATAATAGATTCACAAGAAGTTGCAAAGAAAGGGTCTGAGAGGCCCTGTGTACCCTTTATCTAGTTTTCCCCAGTGTTTGCATCTTGCATAACTATAGTACAATAACACAACCAGGAAATTCACATTGGCACAGTCCACAGAGCTTATTCAGATTTCACCAGTTATACATATACTCATCGGGGCAGGGTGGGCAGGGGGGAGTTGTATAGAATTCTTTTTTTTTTTTTTTTTTTGAGAGAGAGTCCCGTTCTGTCACCCAGGCTGGGGTGCAGTGTCACAATCTCGGCTCACTGCAACCTCCACCTCCTGGGTTCAAGTAATTCTCCCTGTCTCAGCCTCCCGAGTAGCTTAGACTTACAGGCACGCACCACTATGCCCAGCTAAATTTCTTTGTTTGTTTTTGTTTTGTTTTGAGACAGAGTCTCGCTCTGTCACCCAGGCTGGAGTGTAGTGGTGCGATCTCGGCTCTCTGCAGCCTCTGCCTCCTGGGATCAAGCCATTCTCCTGCCTCAGCCTCCTGAGTAGCTGGCATTACAGGCGCACGCCACCATGCCTGGTTAATTTTTTTGTATTTTTAGTAGAGACGGGGTTTCACCATGTTGGCCAGGCTGGTCTTGAACACCTGACCTCAGGTGATCCACCCACCTCAGCCTCCCAAAGTGCTGGAATTACAGATGTAAGTCACCACACCCGGCAAATTCTATCACATGTGTAGCTTTGTGTAATTCCCACCACAAAAAAATCCAGAACCATACCATTGCCACCAGATTCCAAGAGGGCAGGGATATTTGGTAAGATTTGTTTGCTCCTGTACCCCCAACACGAAGACCCGAACCAGACAGAGTAGGTTCTCAAAATGTGTGGAGTTGAAAAGGCAGTAGAAGGTAGTGGTGACAGCACAGACTCTGAAGCCCGAACTACCTGAGTCTGAGTACTGGCTGTGCAACATAGTAGTTGTGTGACCTTGGGCATACAACTTAATCTGTCCCTGCTGCACTTCCCTCTTCTGTAAAATGAGGATAAATAACCGTACTTACCTTGTAGTGTTCTGGTGAGGATTCAAAGGGTCACTGGTAAGACATGGTAAGCTCATAGTGAGACTTGAATTAATACATGCAGGCACATAGTAACTATCAAGCCCCATAAGCAACATTCACTGTTACTGTCATCCTTTTGTATCACAACAGAACAGATAGTGCTAGCAGCCACAAGAAAGATACAAATAAACTATTAGAACAATGTTGAAGGGGTGGTGATTTCCAGCTAAGGGGAAGACACAGCATTTGAATTCGGCCTTAGAAGGTGACTAGTGGTTTCATGAGCTAAATTATGTTCCCCCAAAATTCATGTGTTGAAGCCCTAATCCCCAGGGCCTCAGAATGTGAATTTAGGCCGGGCACAGTAGCTCACTCCAGTAATCCCAGCACTTTGGGAGGCCGAGGCGGGTGGATCACTTGAGGTCAGCAGTTCGAAGACTGTGCCATTGCACTCCAGCCTGGGCAATAAAAGGAGACTCAGTCTTGAAAAAAAGAAAAAAGAAAAGAAAGAAAGAAATCTGTGCTATAGTAATATATGGGTTTCTTAACATAGTTCTATTTGTGAACTTAATAAGTAATATAATTTAAAGGAAGTGAGTGTGTAAATAATGTCTGGAGATATCTGCATCAACTGTAATGTAATATGAAGCCATCTATGATTTCTATTAGTGACCAAGTCACAAGTACTGCTAATGCCACTGTGGTCTGTTGCCTACATTCGTAAATAAAGCATTAAATTTCATTAAATTTGGTGGAAATAAAGTTGTATTTTCCCATTCAAGTTCATGGGATCCTCTGAATTCTATACATGGACTCCTGTGGACCCAGGTTAAAAACCCTTTCTGTGATCCATTGGTGCAAAAATGCTTGAGGTGACTGCAAATATACGTGGAGGTTTTTGCTTTTATTTATTTACTTTTTCCTTTTTGAAATGGAGTTTTGCTCTTGTTGCCCAGGCTGGAGTGCAGTGGCGCTGGGCTCACTGCAACCTCCGCCTCCCGGGTTCAAGCAATTCTCCTGTCTCAGCCTCCCGAGTAGCTGAGATTACAGGCGCCGACCACCACGCCTGGTTAATTTTTTTTTATTTTTAGTAGAGACAGGGTTTCACCATGTTGGCCAGGCTGGTCTCCAACTCCTGACTTCAAGTAATCCGCCCGCCTAGGTCTCCCAAAGTGCTGGGATTACAAGCGTGAGCCACCACGCCCGGCTTATTTTTATATTTATTTTATTTCTTCATCAAAAATGAAAGGTTTTTGCTTTTAAACAGGGAAAAGGATTAAAACGGGGAACACTAGCATCCCAAAGGCATGTCATTAATTATTGTACAGCTTGCCAAAGGCGGGATACAATGTCAGGCTGGACTTCTTAGCAGCCAAGGAAGAGGTTCTGTCCCTAACTTTCTGAGTTGAAAACTTTGATTGGCAACCTTTCGCCTAGTCGAAAACCCCAAATGTCTAGGCTTACATAAGCGTCCGCGTGGTCCAACCCCCTCTAACTTCTCCTGCTTCCTCCGACACGACTGTCCCTTCCCACACCTTCCAGCCAGGCCAGAATGACTCGTAGCCCTCCGGGAAAATGGCACTTGCTCTCCGCCTGCCCAGCTCCGATCCGGCGTTCCCAGTCCCTGGCGCCCGGAGGTGACGGTCGCTTCCCCTGCCCTCTCTTAGGGTTAGTCCCGCCCAATCGACTCCTTAGGTTTTCGGAAGGGCTTCTACTTTGGCATTTATCACGGGCTGTCTGCCTCACTTGCAAAGCAGGGTGCCCCTAGCACACTGCCGGGCCCCTCGGGGAACCCACTTAGGGAAGCGAAGCAAAGCGAATTGCATTTGGCAGGAACCAGCGCTCTTTCCCACGGCGCCATGGGAGCGCACCGGTGGGCACAGAAGGCACTGGGAAGAGGCGGTCGGCGAATAGCGTCACCTCCTAAGCTCCGCCCAACAGAAGCGCCTTCTAAGCTCGTTCTTCCGCCTGCTTCCCCCCTCTTTTCCTTTCTCCGCCATCGTGGTGTGTTCTTGCCTCCGCTTCTCGCCATGGTAAGTCCATCGGTCCCCATCGGTCCCCATCGGCCCCCATCGGCCCCAGGGTGGCTTCCCAAACACCCGAGGCCGCTGCCACGAAATGCCTGGGCCGCGCGGGGCGTCGAGGGGCTGGTGCCTTTTAAAGGCTTTTTCAAGAAAAGCTCCAGTTCGGCCACTGTTGTCTTCCTCGGCCTGGAGGGAAGCTAATGAGCCAGCGAGCAACCTGGAGAGGGGCGGGCTGCGCTGCGGCCGCGGATTCAAGGGGAGTCTTTCTTTGCCGGGCCGCTGCCGAGTCGGGCAGGGATTCCGGTTTCCCTTCGCTTGTAGCGAACTCTGGTTCTGGAGGCGAGGGTTGGGAGGTAGCAGCCACCCCCGAAATCGTGACCTGACTGTGGGCTGCCCGTGGCACGCGCAACGTGGAGGGCAATCAGGAGGGTAATGTGGGCTACTGGTTTTCGAAAAGGGTTTAAGCTTGGCGTGGAGAAGCGAACCACATTTTTAGATCCCAGGACTTTTGTTTAGAGGACGTTTATTGAGAGACTTGAGCGTCACCCCGTGGAAGCGCCTAGAACAAGGGGTGTTTTGTGAACCCGTATGTCATTCTGGCCTTCTTAGTAAATGGCAGTAGCGAACTAGTCACTCTTTACTGGGAAATGTGAAATGTTGATTTCCAGATGTGGAGGCGATAAGTACTGATATTTTGTCATTTGTCAAGTAATAGTTTATTGACAAGATTTACAACTGCTACTGTGGGGGGTTGGGGCGTGTAATCTTTGCCTTTTTTGTATTGGCTCCCATTATTATGCAAGGGTATGTTCTTTCAGGTTGGCCAGGCATTCAACCCGCATCCGTGCCCTTTTTGCGAGATTATTCTGTAGATTTGGGGGAGTATTGGGGTTGGCCTTAGTTGACTGAAGTTCTTTATGAAAGCCAAAAGATGCAACTAGAAACTGAGACAGTCATCCTCGGAAAAGTGACATTTCATTTCTGTTTAAATTTAAAAGTTTATTTTTGTAGCAGTGAAAATTAGCAGTAGGGATAGAGTTACGATTAATACCGAAATGGTGAGTAGATCCTCTGAACGTCAGCAGGGACTTTCCCTAAGTCTTAATTACCCTCCCAATGACACTTGAAAAGTATGTACCCCTATTTTACAAAGTAGAGCACTGAGATTCGTTGACTTGCAAATGGTAGATGGTTCTGTTTGACTCAAAGCTGTGTTCTTCCCAGGAAGCCAAGTTCCCTCGCCATTCCCAGTGTGGTCGTCTGAGTCCTTGGGGGACCGCAGGGTAAACTGAAAGGTAGCCTCTGGCTGTGGAGCAGAGAGGACCTGGGTTTGAATTCTGGTTCTGCACATTGATGCTCTGATTTTGTGCATGTTTCTTAACCTCCTGATTCCACTTACTTAATTTGAACAATAGAAACTGTGGTCTCTGCCTCCCGAGAAGTTGTGAGGGTCAGAGACTTGCTTGGTTTGATGGCTTAGCATTGAGAAGATTTTGGGGCTGGGGTATGTGTTAAGCACTCAAATGTTGGTTTGAAGGAGTTCTTGACTTTGAATCATTCAGGCAGTCTCTAATACCAATGTCTACATTGATTGCCTTTTCTTCCCAGTCTTCTCACAAGACTTTCAGGATTAAGCGATTCCTGGCCAAGAAACAAAAACAAAATCGTCCCATTCCCCAGTGGATTCGGATGAAAACTGGAAATAAAATAAGGTAAGACCTCCATCATACTGCTTGTATTTTGCTAAACGTAAGAGCCACTGTACCTGGCCAAGGTTACTTTTTGAGTATAAATACATGATTAAAATTGCTTGCAGTCCAATCCACCCTCTGACAGCATTCTCAAATTCCTCTTTAAAAACATGCTTCCTTTGTTTCTGCACTGCATCCAGGCCACAGCTGGGCTTATGGGCAGACAGTTTTCCAGTACTAGTTAATTTCCTGGTTATCTTCAGTCTGAGCTAGGTCATAAGGTGGAAGGCTGTCTTACACACATCCTGGTGGAGAAGACCCAGTCAGTGTTTTTAGGCTTTTTGTTTTTGTATTTTGTGTTTTTCGAGATGGATGGAGTCTCGCTTTGTTTCCCAGGCTGGAGTGCAGTGGCACAATCTTTACTCACTGCAACCTCTGCCTCCCAGGTTCAAGTGATTCTTCTGCCTCAGCCTTCGGAGTAGCTGGGACTACAGGCATGCACCCAGCTAAGTTTTGTGTTTTTAGTAGAGATGGGGTTTCACCATATTGGCCAGGCTGGTCTCAAACTCCTGAGCTCAAGTGATCTGCCCCTCCCAAAGTGTTGGGATTACAGGCATAAGCCATTGCGCCTGGCCTTTGTTTTTGTTTTTTGAGACAGGATCTTGTTCTGTTTTACATGCTGCATTGACACTATCACTGCAGCCTCTACACCACCAGGCTCAAGTGACCCACCCGCCTCATCTCTCTGAGTAGCTGGGACTACAGGCACACGCCACCACACCTGGCTAATTTTTAAGTTTTTTGTAGGGATGGGGTCTCTGTGTTGCCCAGGCTGGTCTTGAACTCCTGAGCTCAAGCAATCCTCCTGTCTCACCCTACCAAAGTGCAGAGATTACAGGCATGAACCATCGCACCTAGCCCAGTTTTTTAGATGTTTCTCTTTTCTAAAGAGAGACTAGAAAAGGTTGGAAAACTGCCCTGAACTGCAGAAGTAGTTGATCTCAAAGGAAAAACATTACTAGAATTGCTATGAAGGACCTCCAAGGTCATCTAGCCTAACTCCAGGGAAAGCTAGGCCTGCAACTCAATGACTCGTGCATGGCTTTTTCAGCCTGTCGCTCTTTAGACCTGATGGGCCTTGAGACGGGTGTTGAAGGGAGGAAAAATAAGTATCAAGAATCAGCAAGAGCTGCCCAAGGTTCAGCAGTTGCTCTCTCACCCAGGCTGAGTGCAGTGGTGCAACCCTCCCACCTCAGCCTCCTTCCGAGTAGCTGGGACTACAGGCGTTCACCACCATGCCTGGCTAATTTGTGTACCTGTTGTAGAGATGGGGTTTTGCCATGTTGCCCAGGCTAGTCAAAGCACTTTTTTTTTTTTTTTGAGACAGAGTATTGCTGTCATTGCCCAGGGTGGAGTACAGTGGTGTGATCTTGGCTCACTGCAACCTCCGCCTCCCGGGTTCAAGCAATTCTGCTGCCTCAGCCTCCCAAGTAGCTGGAATTACAGGTGCCTGCCACCACACCCGGCTAATTTTTGTATTTTTAGTAGAGACGGGGTTTCACCATCTTGGCCAGACTGGTCTTGAACTCCTGACTTCGTGACCCACCCGCCTCCCAAAGTGCTGGGATTACAGGCATGAGCCACCGCGCTCAGCCAGAACTTGATTCGAATTGTATGGCAAAGCTAGTGGGATTGGTTTGCTAAGAAGACTTAAAAGTGTGACTTCTTAGGGCTAAAGTTGAGGGCCCATTTCCTTGGTTCATTTAGCCAGTTAGATGTGAAAATTGCCACCCATTGTAATGTTATGGGCTAGTTAGTTGCTTACCATTTGATTACTGGATACTAGACACTGTCCTTTATTGTTTGATACATCTACAGGAACGTCGGGTTTCTCTGTGTCCTGCCTGATGGTGGGACCTGCTTGTGAAGAATGAAAGAAGTACATATAAGCCAGGCACAGTGCCTCATACCTATAATCCGAGCACTTTGAGAGAGGCCAAGGCAGGAAGATTGCTTGAGGCCAGGAATTTGAGACCAGCCTGGGCAACATAGGGAGACACCCCCCATCCCCGTCTCTACCAAAAAAAAAAAATTAGCTGGACTTGGTGGCACATGCTTGTAATCCTAACTATTTGGGAGGCTGAAGTGAGAGGATCACTTGAGCCCAGGAGTTCACAGGCTTCAGTGAGCTGTGATCCAGCCACTGCATTGCAGCCTGGACAACAGTGTGACCCTGTCTCAAAAAAAAAGAAAAATGTATGTAAAACTCAATGCCTAGTTCAATAAATAACTTGCTATTAAACTCTGTGGTCTCCTAGAATTGAGAAGGTATTTTGTACGTAAGATTATATACCTTTGACCCAGATAATTGACCTGATGGAATGATTTTCATTGTCTTAGCTATCTTCCAGTTTTAAAAATGTTTTGAAAGCAGGTTGCAATTACAGTGCTTCATTTTGTGGAAGTACTGCCATTATCCTGCTGAGAGAAAAGCCGTGTTAATCATTTTTGATTTTGCCTTTATGAGGGTAAAATCATGACAGATTGACATGGACAATTCAGGGATTGCTGTTTCCCTGTACTAGACGTGAATGGGGGAGTTGATTGATTGTAAAGATCATGCGAGGCCAGGTGCAGTGGCTCACGCCTGTAATCCCAACACTTTGGGAGACAGAAGCGGGTGGATCTCAAGGTCAGGAGTTTGAGACCAGCCTGGCCAACATGGTGAAACCCCGTCTCTACTAAAAATACCAAAATTAGCTGAGCGTGGTGCGGGGGGAGGACTCCATCTCAAAAAAAAAGTATCATGGGGGAGCTTTTATGTGTTGGTGACCCATTATGAGGGGGTTCAGAATATGTGTGTACCTCCAGGTCCATTGAATCAAAAGTGGGTGCAGGTACACTTGGAGAGAGTGGGCTTCCCCACTGCTGTGATCCCAGTTAAGAGCCTAGCCTTGAATTATTTTGAGAGGATAAAACTTGACTTGGCTAGTTTTTAAACACATAGGGAATCTTTTTTTTTTTTTTTTTACTCTCCAGAAAGAACTCCAAACTTGTTAAAGGAGAGAAAAGTGGTACCCTTTGTATTTTGTGGTACCTAAAAGGTTGTGTGAATGGGAACAGCTGAATTGCTGTCGGACTGCCTTTGTAACTTGACATTTTTTTCTGTGTAGGTACAACTCCAAAAGGAGACACTGGAGAAGAACCAAGCTGGGTCTATAAGGAATTGCACATGAGATGGCACATATATTTGTGCTGTCTGAAGGTCACGATCACATTACCATATCAAACTGAAAATGTCACCACTCTCTGGAGAGTTCGACGTATTTTCCTCTCTGAATCTATTATGAATGTGTTGGTTGGCTGGGTTCAGTAATAAATATGTGAGGCCTTTCATTTCAATTGCTGTTGTATTGTGGTTTGTCAAGTACTGAATTCTCCCTTCCCTGCCAAACCTAACAACAGTATCCAGTAGAACTTTCTGCAGTGATAGAAGTGTTCTCTGGCTACCATATGCTTGAAGTGTGTTTAGTGTAAGGGACTGATTCTGCAAATTTTATTTTATTTTATATATATATTTTTTGAGACGAGTCTGGCTCTGTTGCCTAGGCTGGAGTGCAGTGGTACGATCTCGGCTGACTGCAACCTCCGCCTCCCGGGTTCACGCAGTTCTTCTGCCTCAGCCTCCTGAGTAGCTGGGATTACAGGTGCCCCACACCATGCCCGGCTAGTTTTTGTATTTTTAGTAGAGACAGGGTTTCACCATATTGGCCAGGCTGGTCTCAAATTCCTGACCTCCAGATCCACCTGCCTCAGCCTCCCAAAGTGCTGGGATTACAGGCGTGAGCCACCATGCCCGACCTCTCATGGTTTTTACAATCGATCACCTCCCCCATTCACGTCTAGTGCAGGGAAACAGCAATCCCAGAATTTTATTTTTAGTAGAGACAGGCTTTCACCATGTTGGCCAGGCTGGTCTCGACCTCCTGACCTCAGGTGATACACCACCTCTGCCTCTCAAAGTGCTGGGATTACAGGCATGAGCCACTGCGCCCAGACACCTGCCTGTTTTTGTACAATCTGTGAACGATACAGTTCCTACATTTTTAAATAGTTAAGAATATTTTATGCCATCTGAAAATTGAAATAATTTCTGTCCATATAAAATGTTCTTGTTTCACAGCCATGTGCATAACTTATGTGTATAAATGCGCCCTTGTGCACAGAGATAATGTGGCCTGCAAAGCCTAAAATATTTACTACTTTGCTCTTTATGGAAAAAGATTGCCAACCCCTGTTCCTGGATTCAAGAGAGTTCACTTTTTTTTGTTGTTGTTGTTTTTTTTTTAATTAATTTATTATTATTATACTTTAAGTTGTAGGGTACATGTGCATAACGTGCAGGTTTGTTACATATGTATACTTGTGCCATGTTGGTGTGCTGCACCCATGAACTCGTCATTTACATTAGGTATAACTCCCAATGCAATCCCTCCCCCCTCCCCCCTCCCCATGATAGGCCCCGGTGTGTGATGTTCCCCTTCCCGAGTCCAAGTGATCTCATTTGTTTTAAAAAAAATCTAGGCTAATTGTTGACATTGTAACAGGTAATGCCATTGCCTGACTTACTGAAGAGTTATAGCTGAGTGAATGTACACAGTGGAAATCTTGTGGGTTTGAGCTTTTACCGGGTTAGTGCAGCTTTGGTACCCCTTGCAGTTTCCCTGGCTGGCGAATCACCAGGGAATTACGTTTAACGTCTCAAAGAACCAGTAGCAACCATATTTAGAGAGATGGTTAGCAAATTATTGGCCACCTCTGTGTCAGGCACTGTTTTAGGTACTTGGGATTCATTGGTTGATAGACAAATTATGTGGCATGTTAAGTGGTGACAACGAATAGGCCAATATACAAGCCTTAGCAGATCTAATCTGTAGAAAAGGTGAGAGGGAACAAAGCTCCCCCAATTACCAGTGGAATTAGGATTGAAACTGCAGCAACAAGGGAAAGAACAGGGTTTGGCTGTAACTCCCTGCCCAGTCGATAGGGGGCCTGTGCTGCCTGGACATAGCTGAGAAGGCAGGTGGCAGGAGATGTGGGCTGCCGCATAAAGTGTGCAAGTGATATAGGCGGGACTGCACAGCAAAGGATTCCTTCCTACAACCACACTAGGAGGTTCAGGTGAAAACAATTCCGGCCGGGCACAGTGGCTCACGCCTGTGATCCCAGCACTTTGGGAGGCTGAGGCAGACGGATCACCTGAGGTCAGGAGTTCGAAACCAGCCTCGCCAACGTGGTGACGCCTCGTCTCTACTAAGTAAAGTACAAAAATTAGCCGGGCATGGTGGCGCGTGCCTGCAGTCCCAGCTACTCAGGAGGCTGAGGCAGGAGAATTGCTCAGACCCGGGAGGCGGAGGTTGCAGTGAGCCGAGATCACCCCACTGCACTGTAGCCTGGGCAACAGAGCAAGACTCCTGTCTCAAAAAAAAAAAAAAACAATTCCTAAGAGCATGGCACTCACCAGAAGTGTGAAGAGTGAGCTCCAGAATACCAAGGAACTTAGGAGCTTTAAAGGGATCTTTGGAACCTACCTCCTGAATCCCTAGACTGCAAATATTTTTTTCTTTTTTCTTTTTTCTTTTTTTTTTTTTGAGACGGAGTCTCGCTCCTGTCGCCCAGGCTGGAGTGCAGTGGCGTGATCTGGGCTCACTGCAAGCTCCGCCTCCCGGGTTCACGCCATTCTCCTGCTTCAGCCTCCCAAGTAGTTGGGATTACAGGTGCCCACCACCATGCTGGGCTAATTTTTGTATTTTTTTTTTTTTAGTAGAGATGGAGTTTCACCATGTTGGCCAGGCTGGTTTCGAACTCCTGACCTCAGGTAATCCACCTGCCTTGGCCTCCCAAAGTGCTGGGATTACAGGTGTGAGCCACTACGCCTGGCCTGACTGCAAATGTTTTCTCTTATTACATCAGTGATGGCTTCATATTCAAAGAAAGCTGCCACTGTGAACAGCAGTTGGTAAATATTAATATACTTAAAAATGTTACTCAAGGCCAAGTGCAGTGGCTCGTCTGTAATCCCAGCACTTTGGGGGCTTAGGCAGGTGGATCGCTTGAGCCCAGGTATTCGAGACCAGCCTGCACAATATGGCAAAACAAAAAATTAGCCGGCCAGGGTGTAGCACACCTGTAGTCCTAGCTACTTGGGAGGCTGAAGTGGGAGGATCACCTGAGCCTGGAAGGCCAAGGCTACAGTGAGCCGTGATCATGCCACTGCACTCCAGCCTGGGTGACAGAGTGAGACCCTGTCTCAAAATACTCAAAATACTCAAGTCCAAAGGAGAGGGACTTGATAAAATTAACTGACAGTCACAAGACAGGGAAATTTCTAACCATTTCAGAGCATTAGAAAGCAGTCTTGTGCTTCAGAGTAGGTTGGGTGTTTGCTAACAGCCAAAGGAGGTTAAGTGACAAGGCTAACATCTAATTAATGGCATAGCCGGCTTTCTCTACAGACCTCGAATAGTTGGGATTACAGGCGCCCAACAGTTGGACCTGTACCCAACTACTCAGATAGGTAGGATTAGGATTTGGAGAAAGGGAAAATGACGTGGACAAGGGGTTAGCTGTGTGTGAGGGGTTTATTTGGACCCTGGGAGTTGAAAGCTGTGGGGTCTGGATCCAGTGGCCCCTCGCTATCTTGTACAATTGCCAGTACCTGTTTCCCCATCTATGAAGGGAAATTGGATTAGATCAGTGCATCTTGAAGGGAGGAATGGGAACTTGCGATATATTTTAAGATTTCAAAAAGGTACTGAAATAGTAAAGAAGTGAAGGATTAGATGACAGGTTTTGAAAGCCAGGAAGTCACCCCTGTGGTGACACTGCCCATCCCTTGACCTACTGAGAAGCAGGCAGCAGACTGGTGGTTGAGTTTGCTGCTGTCTGTGTATCACCAGACTATAGTCTGGATTCATCAAACCCTGCTCCCAGGCCGGGCGTGGTGGCTCATGCCTGTAATCCCAGCAGTTTGGGAGGTCGAGACGAGTGGATGATTTGAGGTCAGGAGTTGGAGACCAGCCTGGCCAACGTGGTGAAACCCTGTCTCTAAATCCAAAAAAACTCTGTCTCTAAAATACAAAAATTAGCCGGGCATATTGGTGCATGCCTGTGTTCCCAGCTATTTGGGAGGCTGAGGCAGGAGAATCGCATGAACCCAAGAAATGCAGGCTGCAGTGAGCCGAGATCACGCCATTGCACTCCAGCCTGGGCCACAGAGTGAAACTCCATCTCAAAACAAAACAAAACCCTGCTCTCCACCACTCACCAGTTGTAAGCCCTCAGCATCCTCATCTGCAAAATGGAGTCTCCCTCAGAAGGTTGTGAGGATGAAATTTAATAATTCACCAAAGCACTTGGTTCAGTTGCCTGACTAGGAAAAGGAGATGAGGAGTAGGGAGTGAGCAGGAAGAAAGTTTTGGTGTCAGTCCCCAGCACAGATGCGCCATATGTTGGCACAGGGAGACGGAGGAGGTTGTGATGGGAGGCTGAGATAAAGTCAGGCAGAGCCGCCATGGAGTTGGTGCTCAACATCAGCTGCTAGATTGATGTCAGTTCTCTTCCAACTCCGGGGTTTTAATTTGGAGGGACAGAGTAACCCCTCAAGGTCTTGCAGTCAAGCCTAGGGTTGAATCCCAGCTTCATCACTGAACCAACTGTGGGACTTTCCTCTCTTAGAAGACTTTTATATCCAGAGTCATACCTGACTACCTCAGGTTTGTAAGGATTGATTGATGTCTGTAAAGGATTAGTTCCAGGAGTGTATATTCAAGGTAAATTCAGTCTATGCTCCCAGGTAAAAAGGTTTTGTTTGTTTGTTTGTTTTTTTGAGACAGAGTCTCGCTCTGTCGCCAGGCTGGAGTGCAGTGGCACGATCTCGGCTCACTGCAATCTCCGCCTCCCGGGTTCGAGTGATTCCTCTGCCTCAGCCTCCTGAGTAGCTGAGACTACAGGCACGTACCACCACACCTGGCTAATTGTTTTGTATTTTAGTAGAGACGGGGTTTCACCATCTTGGCCAGGATGGTCTTGGTTGGACTCCTGAACTCGTGATCCGCCTGTCTCAGCCTCCCAAAGTATTGGGATTACAGGCGTGAGCCACCGCGCCTGGCCTTGTTTGTTTTTTTAAGACAGAGTTTTGCTCTTGTTGCCCAGGCTGGAGTGCAATGGCCCGATCTCAGCTTACTGCAACCTCTGCCTCAGGGGTTCAAGCAATTCTCCTGCCTCAGCCTCGCAAGTAGCTGGGATTACAGGCCTGCACTACCATTCCTGGCTAATTTTTTTGTATTTTTAGTAGAGACGGGGTTTCACCATGTTGGCCAGGATGGTCTCGCTCTCTTAACC